TAAATTATTATAAATTATATTTATATGTATTGAAAAATGAATAAAATGCGTCACACATTTTGTTCGATACTATCGTATACACTCATTCGATATTATCGTATATACTTGTTCGATACTATCGCAATACTATATTACTAATTTCATTCTATTTTATTTTTATTTTCTATTATAACATATATCAATAAATTATTTCATATTGAATCTGAAAATTATTACCATTTATCAGTGTGTGATTCTTAATACTCTACTGAAAAACGCACAGATTCGACGAATATCCACCAGCAAATCACCCATTATGCATACGATATCCACTAAACTCAAACAATGCATTAGAATATCCGTTAGCCTAAGATGAACGCGCATCCCTCATTATGCACGGCAAAATGTACTTATCAAACGAATTAAGCCGCTCATCCCCTAATCGCACGTGTGGCTCACGTTTCCAAGCATTCTGTTCGGCCGCTACATGGTGGTTTAACCATTCCAACTTCATACACAGAGAGCCAACTCACGTGCCCCAAATCCTGAAACGCGAATTTCAGCCTATAGATAGCGTACATGTTCTCCAGAATAGTGTTTCAACTCTCCACCACCATCGCTGCGAGTATCGGCGCGAATCGTTTTCGGGCCCACCCGTAATAATTGGTCCTGCACACGGGTCGTTCATGCACTCGACGGCGGTTACGTTATGTAAATTCCACGATCATACGCCGCGATACAGCGGAATTAACGTGTACACGCGCCTGAGCAGCCGGCCGATGTAATGGCTTAAGCCGTTTACACGTCGTTGGACCGTGCGGATCTCTATGGGATGGGATGGTGTCCATCTCGGCCTCTCATCGTGTTCAATATATGCGAATGCGTTTAACAGAGTCGATGGTGAGCGTGCACATGTACGCGGATATTTCGTGAGAAATGGCGGCGTGTATACGAGTATATCTTCCTCTCCTCTGGACGCGGGAACGAGGAAGCTGGTGGATTTGCATTTTAGGGATTGGTTGTTGGTGGTTGTATCGTGCAGGTTAAGGTGGTTTTTGGGAAATTGAGTGGTTTGTTTGGAATTGGGTTAGTTGTTTGAGAGAACTGGATGCGTTGAAATACAGGTTTCGATTGGGGACAGGAGGTTTCGGGGACGGATGATAGAAAGTTGTGATATGGAACGAGATGTTATTTATTTTGTGTTTAGTTGATGATGGAATGGATAAAGTCAGATAAAAAATTATTTTAGCAACATAATGATTCATAATGCTGGCTATAAAGCACAAAGAATCTTTAAGAATCGTACTCTGATAAATTGTCTTTATAATATTTTTCTTTACTTATTATACTTCCAGCCAAAATTTTGAACGATTTAATCTTTTTTCACAACACATTCGAAGTCGCTCGTAATTTCAATAGAATATAATTTCAAAAATGATTTGATCTTATAATAGATTTATATACAATTCACTTATATACGTGAATCAATCGTATCGATAACCGTTATACTTGGATTCTTGTGTAATGGAAAATGTCAAAGGTAAAGGAATAGAAAGGATGTCGATAGATATGTCGATGATTTTCTTAGACAAAGAAGATAACTTGTAAGTAGAACAATCTAATTTTTCCAAGAATACATCTCGATAATAATACATCATATGAAAAGTATATATCCTATTTTTCAATCTAGGAAAAGAAGTATTTCCGAAATTTATCATCGAAAAAGTTATAATAATAATGATTTGCTATTCTTATTCAAATTTTTAAGTTTGATCTTTAAAATTACGTTATTTCTATATTTTAATCATATATCTTTACAAAACATTATTGAAGAAATAAAATATATGAAATGGAATTAAAAACAATAATTTTTTATCACATTTAAAGAAATCAAATTTCAGCAAGTTTTAAGTATTGTATATATTATAGAAACCTTTTAAAAATATCATAAATATCAAATCCATAAACGTTCAAACAAAAATATCAAATTCAGATTTCAACAGGTTACGGAAATAAAAACTCAAAGTAAAATCAACAAAAACAATAATTTTTTGCCATATTTCAAAATATCGAATTCATATTTCAACAGACTGAACGTTCCACTATATAAGGTAATCCTTATTCACTATTAGAACATACTAAACAAATCGAATATAAATTTTCTAAACTTCCTTTTAATCCACAGAAACCAAAGAGAAAAAATCGTCCATAATCCTCGTCTCCACAATTTCATCTCTCGAACAGGAAAACTAAAAAATCCGTGTTTCGTCGAGACCAACGTATAAAGGATCTTTTATATCCGGTATTACATCCGTCGTTTATGACGTAATACAGGGAACGAAACTGAGCAATCGAGGACATTCAGCCGAGCAATCTGCGGCCCGCATGCATACAGAAGTTGCTATGAAACCCCCAGAATCTAAGTTTCGTCAAGCAACATGCTTCCAGATAATATTCTCATCAGAGTAATAATTACCACGATTCCTACGTGTCGCGTTACCTAAATATTCCTATTAACAGAACTAATCTAGCCGCTCGACGCGGCCACGATTCATTTGTTTCTATCAAACTTCGACTCGTGCCGGAATTAACATTGAATCTACATACGAAAAGAAAATGATGTATTCCATCCCGCGTATTATACAAAGGTGATTATCCCTCTATTTATTCTATTTCATTCAATCGAAAAGAGAATATAAAGAAAATTATTTGCAATAAATTCAAAATTAAACTTTTCATACATAAATATTGAATAGAGAATTTCAAAATATGAATTAATTTTTTCATCAATCCAAAATGGCGTTTAAATGGAATTTTGAGACTTAACATAAACATGATGAGAATTATTATTTTTAAAAGAATTCAAGCTTGATCTTCTCATTCAAAAAATAAACAAAATTCAAAATTAAATATATAATGAAACAGGATATGTTATCAGTTCTAAGAAGCGAGTTTCAATTATTGGACAGCATGGAGAATTTATACATATGCCGTTGCAAAATTTCTCCAGGTCATCGAGTATAGCTTTCTCGTCGAACTAAGGCCAGACAACTCGATGAAGATCTATAGGGAAACACGTGGCGCGCATTGAAGGAAAAGGAAGAGGAGAGGGAAGAGGAAACTCGTTTCGCGGACTGAAATTGCAGCCGAGAACCCCGTGGAAAGTTCTTGACAGAAAAAGATCGAGTTTCCAACTGTCTACGCGGCTCTACACCACCATCCCCGACGCGCCATCTGCAACGTATATAATCGTCCGCCGGAAGATAAGACGAATCTCTGCGTCACAGAGACGCTGCGCAACTTTTTCGCCGGACCAACTGCTGATTACAACCCCGGATACCAGACCACCCTCCGTTGCTCTGTTTTCCAAAAGAAAGGGAAGCAGAAGGCTTCTTCCGGTCAAGTTTCTTTGAGCTTTTGATTGTGAGAGTAGATGAGATAGTTGGAAGATTGATTTTAAAGGGATAAGGATGATTAATTTTTCTTCTTATGAGAACTGAAACAATAGTTCATTGTATTAAAAGTAAAAAATATTTAACGAGTTACAATTATAATCAGGAAAAAATGTAGGTCACTGGAGCTTATTCATAATTTCTGCAATTTTTAAAACAAATATCTTGTAATAATTTAAAGTATCATTCAAAAGGGAAGAATTCCACTTTAAATTGATTACAATTTAAATAATTTCCATAAAGATCCGTCCAACGAAAATTCGAAGTAAAAACGTGGAGCACAATTATTATTCGACCGAAATGAAAATGATCAAGCAAGGGGGGCATCGATCACGTCAACGATTTCAATCATTTCGATTCCTCCGAGGAACATCCATTTCACGTAGTCATTTCGAACGTTTCTCAACCCTTTGCCGGGAATATCTCGTGACGGTTCCGACGAATGGCGTCGATAGATCGAATCCTCCGCAGGTCCCGGGAAATCGACGAATTCCACGAGTCTGCGATGCGAATTTCCGAATCCATGGCGAAAAAAGCGAGGGAGGGAAGGTTGAAGCTCGAAAAGTCGAGCTGTCGATCCGACGAATGGGACAGCTTTGCCTGGCAAATTTCGTATCTGAGAAATAAATGGGAACCGTAGCATAATCTCGTTCGCTTACGGAGCGACCCTTGCAAGACAGCCTTGAGGTATTGGAGACTTTTTTGCTTTCGGTCAGGATTTATACGGCAAGGAAGAGATTTTCCACGTGGCAGGGAAAGATAAGTGTTTTTCTTTTATTCCTCCTATTTTTTCTCTTTAATGGTGACCATTGATTTCAAGAGAAAATTATTGATACAAAGGATGGACCATCTTTGAAAATCTGCAAAATCTTGTTATGATCATCTGGATAAAATAATCATTAAATTTCTGAGAAGCAAAAGAATTGTTTTTCCACTTGTTTTTTTTTTTTCATTTAAAAAAGTTGTTCCATCTTTGTTTTAAAAGACTATCTATATATATAGAGAGAGAATGATTAAAATTTTCTAAGTAAAAAAAAAAAAAAAACACTTTAATCTTGGTGATTAAAATCGATTGTCTTTCAGAAAATATGTGGGTTACGAAATGACGAGGATTGATGAAGTTGGTAATGCCTAAGCGCTATCGTAGAGAGATCATAGAGAGATCAAAGGGACGATAATCCCTCCAAGGAGATCATTTGAAGCTTATGCTTACGGCTCGAACCAGCGCACTGGCCACAATTTTCCCAAGGAATTTGCCAAAGACACTGTAAAGGATTCATAATCGTAGGTTAAAGTCTTTGAGGCTTTAACCCTCATCGACGTGGATATTCAAACCAAACGTAATATTACAAGTCGGAACATCGACAATTTATGCTTTTATAATTCTGTGTGTATCTAATATAATCAATGAAATAAGAAAAAATTTTACTTATATATTATTCAAAGTAAGTTTTTGCATTGTGCTTCCTGTTAAATTTGTATACATCTAAGTTTAAATGCATAAATTTTCGCATTCTAATAACAACTTACGTCATTTTAATAATTAATTGAACTCCACTCGAGCTTTCATTGCTCGAATAATTACTCAACGTCACAATGCAATTATACAAATGATTTTATAATATTGTTACTTTGAAAGAAGGATATATATATATATATGTAGATTTATGTTATATATTAGTTTATGTTATATATTAGTAATGGTTTCTAACAGAGCCGTGTCTTGGCCACTATTACAGTGGAGGTCATATCAGGGGATGTTAGTGTCACGAGCTGAAGCTCTCATGAATATATCTCGACTATACCCAAGTGATTAGCCTATACCCGAAAAACTAGAACACTGGTTCCCAGTTTACAATTATGGAGGTAAATATCTGATAAGTAATTAGATCCTTCACTGTTAATATTTTATTGTAACTAGAATTCACTGTTTATCTTAAATATTTCATCGATATAAATGTCTTTTATTTTTAAATCCTAAACTATTTTCTGCTTAATAGCTCGATACGTATCGATTAAATATCCTCTATTCGACGAATCTCCTTTTAAAATAAATCAACAAATAACAATATCAATTTGTCACTAGGATCTTTTCGAGACGTCCTCTACACAACAGCCCCGGTAAAAGCGGCCACCGTTCAGATAAAGAAATAGCCACAAAAGCAAGGACGCCAATAAAATCCCCGCCGCGAAATCACGAATGAAGTGGCTCGTTTATTTTCCTCTCAATGAGAATCGAGAGGAGCTGGGTCAACAAGCGCGTGGTGGAAGGCGAGGAACGAAAGAGGAAGGAGAACGAAATCCGGATGAAGGTGGAGGAGAACGGTAGCCTCTCCGCACGCGATCCGCTTCCGCCTCGGCCTCTGTTCGCCGTGGAAAGCGGCTTAAAAAAAAAAAATGAAAACGCTTGATGCGGCCTCCTCAGGGGGAAAGGAGATCCCGGTTTCGAGAAACGAAACGTGTATTTTTCCACCCTCGATACGAGGAATCGATGATTCGATGGTGGAGAAGGGTTAGGGATGGATGTAATTGGGGTTAAAATCGAGCGGGGTGATTGCTCGAGGATTGATGGAAGAGGATGTTGAGAAAAATTTTTTAGGTTTTTTTTTTAAAGGATGGAATTTCTTTTTGAGAGAATTGTGAATTGTAATTTTAGTTGTGTTTAGGAATTTAAAAGATGGGAAAGAGTGTTATGATAAAAGATGATGTAGTTCTTTTTTGGGGAAGAAAGTTAAGAGAACAATTTTGAATAATGGATTAAATAAATATGTTAAAAGTATATCCTTTTATAATAATAATCCAAAGTTTTTTATCTTTGAGTTGTTCTCGTTTTTCAATTCTGTCAGATCAAAATATAAAAATAATTTCCTATTTTAATCATCAACCTACATAAATATTAGAAAAGAAACGAGTAAAAAATAAGAGTTCATCCATTATTGAACCAAATCAAATTTAATTCAATGAAATCAAGTTATATTTGGTCAAATCATGTCAGGTTTGATTTATTTATCATTTAATTAAGCAGCATTGCATCAGGTGTCTCCCAAGTGTGAATATTCTGCTGTACATATGTAAGAACATATTGATAAGGATTAATAGCATTTAATTGAATTAGACTACAACTAAATATGAAACATATATATATATATTGTGATATATGCATCTCAAAAATCATCAATTTTTTACTACTTAATTTTAGAAAAAATTTTGTCATAATTATAAAATTAATAAATATTTATTCTTTCCATAAACTATTTCTAATTCTACTTTTCTATTTTTTACTTTTTCTTCATCAAAAAAGACAGTAAATCAAAACTCCACTTACTAAAAAATTGTATCACATACAATTTCTAAAATTAAAAGAATAATTCCTGTTAAATTTACAATATAAAATCGACCAAATCTGTTCGAACCAACAAATCAACTTACCAAAATCGAATAAAGCACAAACTTTCGAATAAATCAACTTTGATTAAAATTCCATCGAACAATCTACAATTCTGCATAAATCAACAATCCTTTCAGAAACTTCTCTCGATCCTTCAAAAATCTCATCCCCAATCATCAAGAATACAAAAGCATCGACCCATTAATTTCCAAGACGAAATCGGATCAAAACGATCAGATCCTGTTTTTATCTAATCAAAATCGAACGTTCCAACGTTAAATTCGACTCAAGAGAGGGAGGAGGTTGAATTGTTGAACAGTGCAAATACCGAGATCGAGGATAAAAGGCAACGGATCGGGATAAGTGGAAAATTAACTGGAAAAGATCTGAAGAAATCGTGTACACGAAAGGGGCGAGTTTCGTCTGCGGTTTCGAGGCAACCAGTGTCAACGAAGCATCGAGGCGAGTGAAATGGGATTAAATCAAGCTTTTTTTTCTGAAATGAGAAAGCAAGAAGGAAGATCGAAATGAGACAGTTTCGAAAAAAAGTGGATTTCTACTAATGACGATGCCAGCGAGCCAACCTCTCGTAGAAACACGTGGAAAAATAGAAAAAGAATTCTTTGAATTCTTTGAGCTAAGAGTCTGTGTTAGCTTATTCGTGGTGGAATTAATTAAGCCGTAGTTTCGTTGGAATTATATGGGTAGCGTAGTTGCAGAGGAGTTGGAAATTTGGATTAGATAATAGAAACGAAGATGACATGCTTGAAAATAAATTGTTTCATGGGAAAAAATTGGAACACAAATTTATGCAAATATCGAACACTAAAAGAGAAATCTTACTATCGAATAGTTACTGTCAAATGCAATTATAAAATATCCAGGAAAACAGGTCTCCAAAGTTTTCATAAGAGTTAGAAAATTTCTAAAGCAGTTCCAAGGATTCTAATTAAAAAAGAAAAACTTTAATTATTACTCAGAACAACTCCTTCACACAAATTTAATTGTTATTAGAATTTAAAAAAAAATCATTCAACTATCTTCTCAATTTACAGATTTATCTCTCCATAAAATATTAACAATCTTGACCAAACCCATTCAATTCCTTCTAACCTTACTTTTTTCGGGATCTTCCATCGTTCTTACATCTTTACCACGTCTCCAGTTAGCTTTTCCATTCGACAAAAGTGGCTTGCGCGAGGCTGAATCTCTTCATCCTCTCTTTTGGCTCGTGTCTCCCTTTCACCGGTGAACCTCTGCACCCTGGTATTCCGTCACAGATGAGCCAGCACCGGAAGCCACTCGTGGAACCTCAATATCTTATCAGTGGTCTCCTCGTCCCAGAAAAGTACACGAGAAGCCACCACGTGAAACTCGGCTATAGTACATTTTCTCCCTTCTCCATCTCTTTCGTTTATTCATTTTTTCTCGTTTTTATTCTTATACTCCTTTTTTTTTTTTTATTCTTTATTCCTATTTCGAAGAATATTTTCTAATCCCTTCTTTCCTCTATTTTCGAGGAATTTTCTTTTTCTCCTTTTCCTTTCCTCTTATTTTTTAAATTATCCTCGAGGCTTCTTCCACCCACTTTTCTTTTCTTTTTTTTGGAGATATTCTTATGTATCGTTTCCAGTTTATGTTCGACTTCGC